TGCATAATACAACTTAAAGGGGAAGAGTTTTCAAAGCTTACCAAGGGTGCCTCCTTGCTGGGGGAGTCGGCGTACGACTGCTTCATTAGCGAAACCCGCAGCATGGCCGCCGCAGTCTTAGATGCTGTTATTTTACTCATGGCGTCGGCTGAAAGAAATAAACAGCAAAGTTAGTAAAAATCCCAAGTAAACAAGGCGTGAAAAAACAGAGTATTCGTCAGGCCGGCTACCTCTAGAGCACCGACTGCCGAGGCCACAGGCGGCCAAGAAGTACTCATCATAGAGCCACTTGAAGCTCGGGACGCAGTGTAGGGGTACTTGCTCTCGTACCCCTGAAGTAGAGTTCACCCTAGTCTCTACTTTGAAGAGTCCTTTGTCTAGGATCTCTCTTTTAGCCTTTGGGGGAACAGGCGGCATGCTGCGGCCGCCTGCAAGAAGAGGCGGATCCCTGTTCCACTTGTTAAAACGTTTGTTCAGCTCCGTGTCTGAACTCTCGATAATAAGGAAGGTGTTCCGCCAATCCTTCCATTTGTTTGCCTTACCTCTCGTCATGAGGTAACCCCTGTGGCTTGTTAGTTGATACCAGCCGGTACCTCCCGACTTAGGGGTCCGGCTGAGATAGTTCATGTGGGCGAAAGCCTCAAAACTTGGCTCCACCCCGTTCAGTTCGCACCCGGCCACATAGCCGAGTACGTTTACCCAAGAGTTGGGGGCTAACTGCCATAACCCCAGATCATACCCATCTAAAATCCGCTGAACAGCCGGATGTAATGGGAAGCGCAGACCAGCTTTGATGGCCGCCACATAGCAGCCAAAACAGCCGTCACCATAGCTGGTACCAGCCGGCCAGACGACAGTATCTTCTGGATCCGGCACAAACAGTAAATACTCCGGGCCCATTTTGTGGTTAGCAATAAAGCTCGCCACGTTGTCTCGCATGGTTGCGATCCGGCCCCGGGGCACCCTGCAGTAGTAGGGGGTGTTTTCCTCTCTGTAAGAGGCGGACGGCTCTGCCCAATTATCCCCCTTCTCCACTGCATGGGAACTTCTCGCCTCTTGTAGGCGGTTATGTTTTTCTTCTGAGTCAGAAGAACTATGGTCAGAAGAACTATGGTCAGAAGAGCTGGAATCGGACTCGTCCCCTGACGAGTCCGAAGAGGACGACTCCTCCCCTCTCCTAGAGGGGCCCGCCTCCTCTCCCTTAGAAGGAGCAGAAGGTAAATTAGACATGTCCACGGTTAGATGAGAAGGGAACACCTTGGTCCCTCTCTCAGAACTGTCAGCTTGACAGTCGCCTCGTTCCACATCTGGCGCCTGGTCAGATGTTTCGCTAAGGAGTACCCTTTGGGAGGAGCCGTCTGAGTTTGATATTCTAGCAGTCTTTTTTGTTCTGGCCATCACGTTCTGCATAGACACAGATTCAGTCGGACTTTGTATAAAGGGCAAAGATGGGTCCAGAAAAGGGCAGGCGGCACTCCTAGTCCTAGATTCAGCCGTCCCCGGTGACCGGCTGATCACTAACTTAGGGCGTGTCGTGTGCTTCCATGGTGCCATTTCAAAAAATAAAAAGAAAATTAAGAGTAAGAGAACTGAGTTACCTGAACGGATGACAGTTGATGAAGTCCTGAAAGTTCGGGTCAGTCGGCTTGTCAGAACAGGCGGTAGGCAGAAAAAGTCCGAAAATGTCAGAGCAAGTTCAGGGGTCCGAATGTTCTCGCAAAAATTCTCAAATGTGAAAATGACCGAAGTCAGCACTTCCTTTTATAGGCAAAATGAGAAGGCGAAGGGTCGCCTCCGAATTCAAATTTGGGCGGGAGAGTCTCCCGGCCGTCTGCAAGGTGACACCTGTAACGGGCCGTCGCCTGTCACCGTGCGACACCTGTCACAGGCGACACGTGACCAGTCGCGTGCCACCTGTGAGGGGCAAATGATTAGGGGATTTTTATCCACCAAGCGCCGTTTGACAAGTGGACCAACCAGGTTCCGCCACGCGTCCTCCACGGACCACTTAAGACACGCCACGTGTCCACCCATGCCAAATGGGACAACCGGCCAACAAGGCCCATTTCAGTCTAGAAGCCCGTTCGGCCCTAGGTTTACCTTAAACCTAGAGAGTTGCACGCTTCCCAAGGCTATAAATACTCGATTAATCCTCATTAATCAGGGGACCGAATAATTTACGGAACACACTAATAACCGGCTGATCTCGCTAGCAAAGCAGATTACCTACATTAAATACTCTCACCTAGAGAGACCTTATTACTTTAATTTCTGTATTAATTACTCCTTAATCAGGTACTAACTTGACCGTTGGAGGCGGAGCTCTCAGGAGTCTCCGTTATTTTGCAGGTACAGGCGTCCGGTTCCAGTCTCGGAATTGTAACTCTCCCGCAGGACATCAGAAAACCCCGAAACAATACCCATCTAAATTCAATAACTCGTTGATATGTAAGTTAAAGTAATATTGTGATATACTGACAGCTAATTTCAAACAAATAAATAAACTACTCGAATAATATAACTTCATATACATATCCGATGCTAACATAACAGATTATACACGGTGCAACAAATTCACAGGATACAAAATTAAAAAGGAATAATCCATATTAAAATCCAAAACAACCTAGCAAAGAATCTAAATCTAACTATGTTGCATGTGGTGGTAGAATTGTAAGAGAGTACAAACTATAATAAGTTAGTATGAAGTTTCGTTGATGGGGTCAATGATAATGATTTGGCGCAATGAAGCACAATAATGTACTCACAATCTAACACCTCTTCAAAACGATCAATTTTGCCATTACACTATCACTAAACCCGTCGTTTTCGCGTGTGCAATCAACTTTAGTGTAATCATCAATTTGGTAGTTCTCCCCCCTTTCTTTTCTGCTAGATTTGTCAAAAAGCTTCTTACTTTATAATTAACTTTTTACAATTATTCTCATTTTATTAATTTTTTTTTAATTTTTTTTTTATATTAAAAAACATTGGTTAGCCTTTTGCACTTTATATGATTTATAGCGTGGAACTAAACTAGTAGTAATTGTTTAGGCCACCATTCAAGTAGGAAACTTATATTGCATTGGTCCCAAATTGTGTGCTCCTTTCATACTATTTTATGTGTCTTACATGAACTATCTCGTTGTCCTCAAACAAAGTCCTTTTACATGAAAGACTTGTTTGATTATTAGTGTGCTTTTGTTTCGGTGTAATATATATATAAATAATGGTATCTACACTTTATCATGGCGAAACATGTAGATTTAGCTATGGAAGTGCAATTTTGAAAAAGGTGATTGTTTATAGTTTTTGAATTTATGTAAAGGTTTTTATAATAAATTGTAAATTGATTTGTCGCTAATAGAAGTTTGGAAACTTGTTAAATATTAAAGGACCCATTTAAGCAAAATATTAAACTGATGGTTGAATCCCATGATTAATTTATACTTCGTATATTCTATCACACCCTGACACATGAGAGTCCATAACTATGAATTTTTGTCAAGCTGACTCTGATACCATGTTAAAGGACCAACGAAATCAAAAGCTTGATATTAGAATATAAACTCAATTAATGGCGATGTACATATTCTATCAATACTTATTAATATCGAGTATTTTGCTAGCTCTTAATTGAATCCAACAGCTACTCTCAATTGAATTAATGTTAAGCAAATCAAAAGTTGTAAAATGTAAAAGGCTAGAATATACTTCGTATACAACAAGAAATATAGAATTGGACCTTGAAGCTCCGCTATGCCCCCTTAAGCAGTGAAGCAGCATAAGCAACTTCATACCTAGTTCGTTAAGCAAGCCATCATCAAATTTTCTCTCACATAATAAATATATTTCTGTGAGAATTATCACATACTCTCAATTAAAATATTACATGTGACTACACCATTTAATGAAAAATTTAGTGTATGTTTCTTTCATTGTAATTAATGAAAGACTTAGGGCTTGTTTGTAATATTGATCCTTTATGTTATGCTTTACTTGCAAGCCACCTAGTAGTCATATTTAGATCTTTTTTGAAAGTAACTAGTCCAACTTTTACCATAACAAAGTATAAGTATGTAGTACGTTAATAAGTTTAGAAAGGTTTCATTAAAAAAAAAAAAAAAAAAAAAAAAGAATAAATCATGAAGGTAAACAAAAATTAAGTTTAAATTTTCACCTAAAAAATAGGTCTATATAAAAGGCAATAAAATATAATAAGTTCAAATAATTGTAGGCGTATCAATGTATGTTAACTTTTTTTTTTTTTTTTTTTGGTGAGGAAATGTGTAACTAAGTGTTCGCAAAACGGTGAACCGCCCTTTTTTATATATATATATATATATATATATATATATATATATATATATATATATATATATATATATATATATATATATATATTTGGAGACTCACAATAGGTTAATGTTAATGAAGGGATTTTTTTAGTCCATAGTTTAACTTTTGAATAATGGCGGTTATTTTAAGTTTATTTTGATTTTTTATTATACATATTTAAGACAAAATGACTTCAAATTAGTTAAGATGTTAAGATAGAACAAATTATGAGTCCTGTACAGAAATTATGTAAAACAAAATTAAGTTTTAATTAATTTAGAAGATAAGTATATAGAAAAAATAAGTTAGTTCAAATAAAGCCTTATGTTAGAGATTATGCGATATTGAGATACAATCTACTCTAAAACTTAACATGATTTTTAAAAAAAAAGAATGCATAAGAATCCAATGTGTTATATTGATTTTAAAGGATGGATATAAGGGTGCCAATAAGGGTACATAAATATAATTAATTAAGGATAATTATAAAAATAGTTAGAAACCTTAGATATCAATTAACCTCATATATCCCTTTTTTGACGTACATATATTCCTTACTAGCTATCCGCCTATCCCCTACTAGCTATCTAGCTTAGTAATCATACCACATTCAAAATCAAGTGCATTACAACTAATTAATGGAGTAAATTTGTGCTTCCTCATAAACTTAAAACCAAAGTTAATAGATTAATCAACTTCCAAGCACCATATAATTACATTCACATCCTAATATTAAACCAAACAAAAAAAAAAAAAAAGAAAAAACAACATAATTAAGAAAATAATTAAGCCGTTATGTTCTTCAAACTAGTAGTACCATACACCGGCAACTCCTCATAGTACCGACTTACACCAATTGAGCTCAAATTTTCCAACTCAAAAAGATCTGAACTCGCACAACTTCCACCACCATCATCTTCATCATCATCCTCCTCCATTTCGTCGTCGTCGAAATCATCTTTTAAATTCGAAACATGACGCTGTTGAATGTTCCCGCAATTTGTCTTGATCATCATCATTAACGCATCAATTTCTTTCTCTCTCCTCCGTCTCCTCTCCTTCTCCTCGCTTTCCCCGCCGAATGCGTGTTCATTCGGCGGCGATGCGAGCTTCTTCGACTCTTGAACTTCATTCTTTTGTAACGATTTATGACCGCAAGGTCTGGAATCTTCGTCTAGTATTACACTCACTGGATAAAATCTCACTGATCGTTTGGATGATTTTGTAGACGACGTCGTTTTATTGCTCAAGCATGATCTTGAAAATGACGACGCCGACGAACATGTTGAGTCCATCGCCGCCGTAATTGCCGCCGTCGGTGGCGGTGATTTGATCTCCGGCGAACTTCTCGCCGGAGATCCGCTAGAGTTTCTGAAAATCGAGTTCAGAAACGCGGCGATTCTTCTACCAGGAGAAATCGGAGCAGTGTTCTGCTGTTTCGACCGCTTCAAATCCCCGTAGATCTTCAGCGCGCGAGATTTCGTCTTCGTGAAGATTCGCGAAGACGATTGATCGCGCGAGGTTGTTGATCGGGGAGTGAGATTCGTAAAACACGACGAAGAAGACGATGAAAAATCAGTCGTGGAAGAATTATCTGATGCCCTAGGTAAACTCGGGACAGATTTCTGACGAACAATCCTGATTTTTTGATCGAGTACATCACCGAGATGAAAATGCTTTCGTTGCGGTGGTTGTTGCGGGGGTTGTTGTGGTGGTTGCCGCTCCATCCACGACTCGATCATGATGGCACGGCGAAGATCGACCGTCTCTAAGGTACTATCGCTTCTCATTTTAGTTCTTCGCTGTTTGGACGATGATAATTGTATAGTGTTGCAATCACTTTGTTTGGTAATGCTTCTAGTAGGGGAGGAAGGGGTGGTACGGGGGTAGTGGGGGAGGTCGTCGTCTTCATCGATTGATCTATAAATGGCGTCGAGTAGGATGGAGGAAAATGAAGGGTTCTTAGCCCTTCTTTTATGGGTAGTATGAAAAGGAATCGTGGTAATTTCAAACTTAGACATTTTAGTAACACACAATAACAATGTTGTTACGAAAACGACAACGACAACAACGACGATGTTATTGTTAGAATTTTAGCAATTGTAGTGAAGTATGATGAATTTAGGACGAGAGATTCTCATGCTAAATACTCAAATTTAGGAGTGACAAAGAGAGCATGTGAAAGAAGGAATTGGAGCAGTTGTCTGCTAAGAGAATGTCAAAAGCTGCAAAGGCTTAGGCGCAATTAGTGAGAGAAAAAAAACACCACCATGTGATATGAATATATGATCAAAGAGTTGAAAATTAAAAATAAGTGTAACACACTATTAACACCTTATCGTACCTTAAGAACAACACCCTTGCTCGCACCCTTCAAGGTTAAGGTACGATCACGGGTTATTTTATTAACAAGTGTTTATGAAGACGTCTAGATAATTATAGCGAGAGGGAATTGGGGTATAGCAACGAGGAGAAATGAATGAATATGTGATGATAAGTAGTGCTATCTTCTGTTCGTATATATGAACAGAGGATAGTACTTAAAAAAGAAAGGAAAAATAATGTAAATAGTTATGCGGGAGGAGAGAGAAAACTCCCGCGCGTGCGGGTGGGAAGAAGAAAGGTGGAAAGGGGGGAGCAAAAGGCTGACAGCTAGGCTAGTGAAATGAATAATAAGGTCGGAAAACTTTTTTTACTATTAGTCAGATTACTGTTTATTTTTATTGCTCTGTTTTTTTGCTTTTGTTTATGTGACTTTGTTTACACGTACGTCTGTGGGTTACTTTATTTTTTATCTGTCTTTTTTTATTTTGGGTTTATGTGCTTGAAAATTTGTTGGATGTTGATATTCATATAATAAGCCAAATTTATTTTTTTGTTTTATCAAAATATATACAGTATTCATATTCCTTGACTATTTGATTGGTGATAAAATCAACCTAAATCATTGACAGTCAAAGTGGTAATGCTTTTTTATTTTGGATGTTTTAATGGAATAATGTATAGTTTTTTTTTTTTCAAATTTGTTGATTTCAACTGAGGAAATAATTGTACTAGCAACATTGCAATAAAAAGGAAGCAAAGGACTAGCTAATCAACAATGGATATTTTTTCTGCTTCTAAACTATATTTAATTTGAGATCATTTTAAACAAAGAAGAGAATCTTAATATACTTCCTTTGTCTATAAAAATTATACGGAGTACTCTCTAAGTCATTAGAATCTTACAATTATTTAAATTTGGTTGTTTATCACCAATACTACATTATATAAGAAAAAATAAAAATAAAAAATAGACCCTGTGGTCTTATCTCAACAAGTGTTTTAAGATTAATAAATTTTTATGATTATTTACTACTAAGTAATTAGAGATTAGAGATTTTAATGGTTAAGGATTTACATATAGAAAATTGTGAATAGTCAATATACGAAGAACTTTTATAGACAAAGAAGTGGAAAGCTTGCATGTCACAGATTGATGATTAGAGATCATTACTTATCTTGTACTACCTTTGGTCGCTATTATTTGCAACTTTGGGACATTATTTGTGAGATATAAAATATTCCAAAGTTGCAAATAATAGCGACCACAAGTATTATAAGGTACTCATATTTTTTAATAAAAAATACGAAAAGGATACTGTCCAATGTTGTATAGTTCTCTTTAGAACTGTAATATCATAGAAAACATATCTAGCTTAAGTTGTTTGTGTATCAATACATGTAAGTGAATGCACACGTATACATTTGTCTTATCTTTTAAATTTGATAAGAGTGTAGGTATATATTTACTCCAAATACAACTTTAATTTTGAGACTCCATATGTATATGTGAAACTCTTAATTGTTTTTCACGTATGTATAATTCATCTAAACCTACACAAAAACATAAGTTATAAATTCAAAGTTTTAACTCTTAACTTAAATTTAGAATATCATATGAACTCACATTAGAGATCGATATATGTAGTAGGGAGTTTGATAATTGAGCAATGATAACTTATGTATGATCCCTTTTCTTTTTCCCTAAAGTTATAATAATTGGACTTTTAACACTATTCACTCACTCCCTATTAATAACGGAGTAAACATTAATTTAAGTATAAGTTCGGTGATCACTGGTTGTACAGTGTTGCCAAAAACAACCTAGTTGTATAGTGTCCCAACCAACACACGTAGAAGTTTTTTTATTGGGTTGGGTGGGGTGATTACGCGGACCCTTAGGCTCTATATATGGATGGTCCAATACTCCAATGTTAGGTAAGTTTCTACAGTAATTGTTTGGTTGTGATTGTAATTTAAGCTGACTTTTTCACGTTGCACATGGCAAGCCACTAATTTACTTAATTACAAACTAATCCTGTCAACAAAAACATTACTTCCACATTTTTGTAAATAATCACAATGTGTCTTGTTGATAGACTTAAAGAAAGGATTTTAAAAATGATTAATTAAAATAGTTAAAACAACGGTAAAAATGAAGAGTTGAGTTATCGGTGTATAATAATTCTGATAAATTTGTCATTTCTATAATCTTTGTTTAAATTTTGTGTCAATTCAAAGATGCATTGTTTACAAATGCTTCATTGACCTAGTAAAGTGCCCTAAAAAATGCCACTGTTTAAAAAGATAAATTTAAGATTAGCAAAATGTATTGACAAAGTAACTATAATGTTTTTTTTTTTCTTTATCATTACTATCAACAACCAATTAGAGATACATTAACTTTTAACTTTTATGAATAGGTTTGAGTCAAATAGCAATGATTAAAAATTTCTTATCACACTACTCTTAGAGCAAGCCAAATGACTAAAATATAACTTATCAATACAATTTCAAATTATACATCGTATTCAAATCCAAGCAAGACATGGGGAGACCTTGTGATGGTTTGAGCATGAAGATATTAGTCAAACACAATTCAACAAGACTTATGTATAACGAGTTTACAATCAAATAGAGTTCTCGGAGTACAACTACTAATTTGAAAAATAAAAAGAAATTATCAATTCGCGAGTCTCTCGTAGAAGCTACTAGCTTTTGATAATGTCTTGGTGGTACCTATGAACCGAGATTATAATTCCGTCCAATGCTGTGAGAAATGGAGGTTCTGAGTACTCTCTTATGGTAATTTTTCTGGTCGGGTCTACTGAAATGTATTGTTATTTAAATTATTACAGCTAACAAAAAAAGGCTATAACCTGAAAAGAACAAAAACGTACTGAAATGAGCAATATCCTTAAACCAGCTTAAATAAATGTCCATTAATAACAGGTACACTCATGGGCCAAGAACACTAATGTATTACAGTATTAATACAATCCATTTATAGACTACAGCTCATTTAGAGCCCACAAGTTAACTCCACTAATGACACTACTATTATTGGAATATACTGGCACTGATGAGCAAATTTTCTGTAGAGCAAATTTTCTGTATTAATGAGTTGTACCATACTGCTAGATTCCAAATTCGTCGAGTCAAGAGTACGTAGAAAAAAAAATTACAAAAAAAAAATATTATGCTATCATTCTTCACAAGAGGAAGGAAATCAAAATCTTTAGGGAACTGGGATGGTCATCTCACCAACAAAACCTTATCTAGTCATCATAATTGGAAAACATTAAGAGATGGGCTCTTCCAATATGCTGTATCAGAGTTGACACCACGCATGAATTAAAGATTGATTATTGTTGATTTGGTAGCTCGGCATTTGCAGATATACTGCTTCTAGCTGATGACGGTTTGCTGTGCTGTTACTTGGTAGACTCGGCGTGCAGCCTCTGAACATCAACTAATTGGTATAAGTCACCTCTCCTTTGGTTGATGATGGGTAGATATGCCCTGCAGATTCCATTCCACACAAGAATTTGGTAAACAACATATAATGTTTGGGTCAGATAAAAAAAAACCTTCAGAAAGTGAGAATAACACCAGATTTTCTTCTTAGAACATTTAAATAAGAGAATGTGGACCGCTGGACCTTTCTCAGTTTCTCATTCTCATGTCAATGACAGTACTAGAAAAAGTGACGGTATTAAAAATAATGAACATATAGTATCATAAAGTACAGAAGATGTCACCTCCTTTGCTCAACCAGCGAGTAGTCGATTTCTGCTATAACAGTTGTCTCATCATGATCAGTTGTTGCAAGCACTTCCCCGAACTGCCATAAGAAAATGATATGCATAAATTATTCATTTGCCCAGGTTTCACAAATTTCCTTATCACACAAGTAATAGCCTGAAACTTGAAGAAGACGTAAAGAGACAACAAACTTACAGGTCCAACCAAGGTAGAGTGTCCCCATGCCACATACCCTGACTCAGTATCACGAGCTGGTGCACATGTTGCTACATACAACTGAAGAGAAATATATAGAACATCATCTACCTGACTATTAAGTTCTCAAATGCAGGTGATAACATCATGACTTGTACCTACTATAAAGACGATACATAGACACTTTCTCTATGACATGAAACATGTAGAAAATACAGGCCCTCTAATTGTGAAGCCCTAAGATTGTGCAAGTTTATTCAAATTTATAATGTCTAGTTCAATAGACTTAATTATAAACTACAACAATAAGAACCACCTTCACTATGACATGGTAGTCATAATGTAGTATCATATATGCCCTTCACCAGCAAATTACGGAGTACTTAATTATAAACATCAATGTACGTACTTCATCATGTAATATTGAATGGGAGTACTTCACAATTAACAAGGTCAGTGGAGTACCTGATTATCTGCTGCCCTGCATATTTTATAGATAAAAAAATATAAAAGGAGTTCGTTAGAAACAGGAACTTCACTTTGAGGTACAGAAATACAGTATAACCCTTGTCTTAAAATGCTAAATACACTTTGATATGTATAGTTTCAAAACGATTTCAGCTAATTTTCAAGATATATTAACTATGTTCTGAGATGGTAATATTTTTTCATCAATTTATGGAATTGAGTAAAGATGTAAATATATAAGAAGGGAACATCATCGTGACATTGTTTAACACTAGTTACACAATGTTCACCCTATAATAATACCAAAACTTGATAGTAACTTAATATGTAAGTTAAGGGGAGGAAGCATTTAATTTAATAGAGAACTCCAGAAGCCACACCTCATCCTAATCCAGTAATCCCTCAATTCATTTTTCTTATTTTTGTTTATTATGGGGGTAGAGGCAAGGGTGGAGGTAGGGAAGATAATTGTGGAAGGAAAATCTATTTAAAAAAAAAAACACTGCCAGAGCTTTCCTCCCAGACCCCAACTAATAATTATCTTCAGCACCTTCCCCACAACATCATCTCCATTCCAAAGTCTAGTTGTATTATAATGACACAAATAATAATCTCCACTCTCCAAATCAAACACATTGAACAGATTGCCGTAAAATAGTTTTAATTAATTTATTTATTATTTTTTTTTATCATTCTCCCTATATCTGGCAGTTCGTGAAATCCTACGAGGGGAAGTACTGTCATGGTTTGACAGAAAAATACAGCATGCCTAATTTCCTGCTTATAGATCTTTGTGATTTGCAAACACTCATACTCCTGCAGACTCAGCAGGACAGCAACATTTACAGAGTAAACGAGCCCTAGGTTCAAGTGAGAAACAATAGAGTTTAGCTGTAGATTGCCAAATTCTGTCAAAAGAAATATAGCAAAGATGAAGGTTTAGTCCTGCTGCGTGAGTCTGGTAGTTTACATTTTCCAAAGGTTAAGAAAATTGATTCAACTAAAAGCATTAAACCTCTTACCTAGCTCTCTGTAGAAGCTCCCAATGTAATGGACCAGTGGTCATATTAAATGCCCCAGGATAGCAGAGCAAATGAGCACCTAACATCCATAAAAATACTTCACTATTAAAATCAAAGTCCAGAGAGCAAACCTAACAATCAATTTAAACTCTATCAATGCGGGAATTTTTCAACAATACAAGAGCAGAAATGAGAAATCAATAAAGTCCTAGAAAACAATAATAGAGGTAAAAAAAAAGTCCATGCTCAGCAGATGTGGCATGTGTGAGTGTGACAAACAAGAGACGCCAAATAAATTAACAAGAAACCATGTAAGTATGATTGAAACCTTTTTTGTTTATTCTAGACTTTATATTATAGTAGGAATAAAGACGACATCAAGAGATGTCAAGCCGCCCAGTAATCCTCTAAAGAAACATTTGACGACAGTAAAATGATGCAAGGAGTAGAAAAAAATGATTGTCCCATAAGCTTCTTAGCTAGTATATCATACGATTCCTTATGACAATTCATGTTAGCCGACCCCAAATCATTTTGGGACTAAGGCTTTGTTGTTGTTGTTGTTGTTGTAAGCTTCTTAGCTAGTGCTTGTATTACGAAATGTTCTAGCTTCTCTCCATTAATTATACCTAAAGGATACCCAATAACACTGATCCGCACAAACACTTCATTACATCCTTATAAAGTGCACACTGCTAAATTGCACCAAGGAATCCCCACAAACACTTGATGAAATCCTTAAAATGCTGCAAGGTATAAAAAGTTGTACCATAAGCTTCTTAACTAGTGCTTGTATTACGAAATATTCTGGCACTTAAGGATATCCAATCACACTGATCCCCACAAACACTTCATGAAATCCTTCAAAGCTGCACATTGCTGACTTGCAATTGCAATAGAGAAGATGATTACACTCACTGGAATCCCCAATTAAAAAATTGAAGATTTTAAGGAATACTCCATAAATCCATAATACATTTATATGTACTGACTATTATTTGGACTCCCCAAAAATCATGTTTTTCAAAAGCTGGAGTTGGATTGCATTCTTGTATATGTTTTGTACACAATAAGAGAGAGAGATATCACATTAAGAAATAATACGTGATAAAACAAAAGTAAAAACAAACCTCTTGCTGCATAAATTGCCGCTAATTCTTGAAAGCGGATATCATAACAGATACCAATGCCGATGCGCCCAACATCTGTAAAGAAAATTTACTTATCAGCCTACAACAAAACATTAACAATCAATCAATCATAGCCTTAATCCCATAAGTGGGGTCGGCTACATGAACCAAAAGTGATTATTTCGTGTAGTCATCGAATATATTAGTATTCTACTAAATCATTGATCAATCATAACAAAGAACCCAAAAATGGATTACAAGTCAAATTTTCACATATAAGATTCTAAAAATAATGGACTATATTAGTATTCTACTAAATTGTTGATCAATCATAACAAAAGCATACCAAGGGCTTCTAATAGTTTAAGACATGAACTAGTCCTTAGCCATACTAAAGTCTTTATTTATTTGTGTGTGAGTGTGCCCGCATGGGGGTTGAGTTCTTTAAATTGACAACTGATCAACAGATATATGCAGTATTGAACTAACATAGCAAGTAAGAAGTATTCAGAAAACCCAATTATCTGTCTTAAGATTCTGGAAGACAGGGCTTGAAAGGGAAAGGTACACAAGTGTCTTTAAACAAAGTAGATTCATGAATTCAGTGTATTTCATATTGAAGTTTTTGACAAACTGATTTTCCTATAAGGCTATAATGCATCAAGCATGAGTGTATTCGGAAGTCGTATGAATTTCAGCGTTTTACATATACAGAGTGATGCTATATAATGATAAGGAAACATGGTGAAAGAACCCAAATCATCTGCAACCACAGTGGTCTAGCAGAAAAAAATGATTCCTAAAGCAATATTCTCACAGAAAACCCACAATTATTGATTTGTGCAATTCCAGAAAGTAACATTTATAAAGAAAATGGACAATGAAAAACTGACCCTTTGAAAAAGATACACTAGACTTGAATCAGTACTAAATGAATAAATACACAAAAGATGTCCCAAAAACAATTAAAGGAACAAAAATGTGAGGGGAAACTAACAATAAGATGAAAAGGGATGTCCAAATCTTGATATAATTTTACCTTCTAATTAAAAAAAATTTAGATTTCTCTTTTTACGATGAAAAGGGTTGATCACATTACTGTATTTACAAGAAAATTTCTAGATCATATTACTATGTCAAGTTATCAACAACCCCAGTATTTTACAAGCAACTAAACAGCAATAAATATCTTGATGGCCTAGTCATCAAAGAACAAAAAAGACAGAAACCTGTGTCAACTATGGTAGGATTCTCTCCAGCGGTAAGTGTCTTTGATTCTTTAAAAGTCATCTTCCCTGGAATGTCAATGTCAAAAAGATGTATCTGTAAAAGTGATCACAGTGATGTTAGGAAACCTGATAATAAAACCCATCATATAGTATAATGCACTGAGAGTCTCCAAACCTACAGTAGATTAGACACATGCCTTCCTGTGTTTAGCTTTTAGCTTCCCATCAGTCCCAAAAACACAGCATGTGTTATAAAGCCGATCACCTCTTCTCTCCGGTATGGAACCACCAACTATTGTAATTTTAAGGTTTTGAGAAACTTCAGAAAGCATTGCTGTGGAGGGAGATGCATCACCACCTAATTCAATATCTTCAGCATAAACTGGAAAGCTGTCGTTTGAATAGGGACTGTTCCATATTTCCTGAGACGATTGCATAAAGAAAGCAAAACGTGTTTAATAAAATTATCCACGTAAATCTTGAGAGACAAGAGTCAAATAAGCATCAGGACGATATCGCCCAAAACTGCACCCACAAACAATCAAGCATAATCAAAATTATGCAAGTCCAACACAAGCATACTGAAAACCTCACCAGATTTCGCCCTAAACTACATTTACAAACAATCAAGCAGAATCAAAGGTATGCAAGTCCAACCCAAGCATACTGAAAACCTTACCAGATTACAGACTATGTTGCAAGGGAGAAAATCCTTTTACTATTCTTTATACATAGAACCAGACAAAAACCACAACTTAGCCAACTAATACATAATCAAAACTCCAATTATACTTGGATAAGTGAACAACATGACTAAAGCAAATATGCACTCACACAAAGATAACATAGAAACAACTCCATAAAATGACAATCCCATGCATGGTTGTCAAGGAAACTAAGACACATTTAAAGAGAAAAAAAATACAACAACAAGACCAACCATCCAAACCCAAGTACCCAATTAGGCAATTACAAAATGTATACTTACAGGCAGAAGAACAAGCTGAGCACCCTTGTTTGCAGCCTCCTCAATTGCTTCACGAGCATGTGATATATTCCTCAATTTGTCAGATGTAACTGACAACTGGCAAAGAGCAATCTTGAACTGCACACATGGAAATAGTGATTCAAGAACACAGCAAATAGTGCCAAAATGCCACCAAAATAAAAAAAATAAAAATAAATAAAAGATTGATACAAGATGCCTTGAATATCAACACCAATGAAAGGGGGTCAAAAATTAACTAGAAAGAAAAGTTGTTTATCATGCCAAACTGAGAGGTCTGAATGTCTCCAATTATAGACACTCGAAAGAAAAAGAAAGGACACTACTAGGTACATGGAGAGTGACCATTTCATTGGATGGGTTTTGGAAGTTGCTCAAGAGGTATAATGTCTATTCACCTTAGCACTGGCCATTGCAAAGTTATAAACTACTCCGTAGGAATTTTCAAGGTCAACATACAACAAAATATTTTGCTACTTTGAGCCACTACATAAAACCCCATCTTACTTTAGCTCCACTCAACTAGCTGTTGATGAACTTCAAATTTTGATTAGTTTATCCATCATAAAACCAAGCTTGGCTCAGGCTATATCACCTTTGTTCCCTAAGGACAAATCAAATAATGGACTGGCTTGTCAAGTTATTATTCAAGGGCTAATAAGGATTACAATAGTCCTTAAATAGTATAAGCACATTCCTTGACAAATCAACCCATTATATGACATTGTTAAATTACCAAACTATCCCTGATATTGACCTCAAGGATAAAAGGTAATATTATACCCTAAGCACAAAAAATTACGAGTAGTTTTTGAGCAAATTCATACCTAAGTTGTACTACTAACGACTTACTCGAAAATGGTAATGCTATAGATCTCAATGGTAATACTAACAATATCAAAGGTACTACTAATGAGTCGTATAGTACTATTTACGATCTCTAATTCTCAGCGGAATTATCTTTGTACTGTTTTATTTGTTATAGTCTTCAACTACTAATAGGGGTATTAAGAAGCCTTTCCTTATAACATCCAACCCCAACAATATCAAGTTCAAGGGGAAATATATTTACCTATTTAATGAGTTACGAGGATAGCTATAATAACCACACCAAGCTACGGATTAATATTGAATTTAAAAGCACGATTACTTTCAACTCGTATAAGAAACACACCAAGCTAACCAAGTAATAATGAATTTAAAAGCTTGACTACTTTCAACTCGTATAAGAACCACAGTAAGCTAACCAAGTAGCTCAATATCATCTAATTCCGTTTATATATAACGCAGACTAAATGTTGCTACACGTTTCGCAATGGAAATGTAGAGCATCAAATGATTAAATTGAAAACGTTGCCCAAAATTCTCTCATTGTAGATTTAAGTAATACGAAGTACAGTACACAATAGCTTGAAGTAATAAATAAATTGCCAATTCCAAACCCTAATCGCAACATAAAGAAGTCATCATCATATCTAATTTACAAATTGAACGATGCAAGAAAAGCAAAACAAAACTACAAGTATAAATAACTGATCAATCAAAGCCACAATTCTTAAAATAAATAGATTAAATTAATTGATAAGATTTGTAGGAGAGAGAAAATGGGTGACCTTGGTGATCGGAGGAGGCGGCAATGGAAGTGCGGGAGGAACCCTAGCTTGGTGAGCGGTGGAAATGGCGGAAATTGTGGTGGCAAATGGTGATTTATTGAGGTTTGAATAATAGGAATTGCGAAATTTGACAGCAAAAGTTTGAGATGATAAAAATGAGAGATTTCTGGAATGGTGTTTCAGATTTTGCAGTACATTTGGTGTTTTTGTTAATGGATGAATTTGGGAAATGCCATTCATGTTTTTTTTCTCAATGTTATGGAAGTGATTAAGTTTGATGTTTAGAACTGAGAAAGTGAGGATGTACTCCGAGTAGTTGACAAGACTTGAGTTTGAAAAAAAAACCGTTGTCTTCTGCCATCAGATAAGATATATTGGTTCTCCTCTACTTATTTGTTGGTTTTTCTTGTGTCGTGAGACCGAATTTGTGATTTAATTCGAGCATGATTTTGCTCCTTTGGATATGAGTTTGGTTTTGCTCTAATTAAACTAATAAGAGATTTGATTGTGGTTTGCTCTCAAAAACCAATATTTGATTAGAGTAGGAAAAACGAAAATATGACGAGTTTGAGAAGAAGAGACGTTCTCGTTGTAATGTTATACTAGGTTAGAACCAGTGCGATGCACGGTTTATATAAAATCTATTTTTACAATTTGTACTTTTTTTCTTAAAAAATGGAAAAATATAAATAAGAATTATGCACCTTGTTCAAAAATATTTGTAATTTTATAGTTTTAGAGTTGCATCAAAATTATGATATAATACCTGCTCAACGTTGCCTAATACATATTTCAATGTAGGAGTCCAATTTATTAATGTGCTACTTACAATTGTTTCATTTTTTAAAGATAAAATTGATAGGTTTTAGTTGTAATGTAGAAGTTTCTAAAATTCAAATTTCAAACTTGTTAAATATGGTAGCTCTAAAAAAAATGACATCATCCTTGCATTTAGGCGAAAAATTTATTATGTGAGTGACATGTGGACAGTGATGACGTTAACAACGTTTTGTTTTAGTAATAGATAATAGATTTGCTGGTTCGAAAAGAATGATGTTCCGGTTTGTTTGATGATTGATGAGTTTAAAAAAAGAAGAAAGTTCTCATCATAATATAAAAAAAAAAAAAAAAATTGAAATTGAAAAAAATAGTTCCACCTTTGCCACTTCTCCTTAAAACAATCCTTATTTTTTTACGTTGTTTCAAAAATAAAAATAAAAAATAAAATAAAAATAAAACCTTCTTTTACTTATGTTTAATTTTGTATAGATCTACAACCGTTTGTATGTAGATCTACATACAACTGAGGAAAACAACATTGTATTGTGCTTTTAATTATGTACTCGTAATAAATTTTATTTTTAAATGTTACTTTCTCCGTTTATTTTTACTTGACATGTTTCTTTTACCATGCTTGTCAATGCAAAACTTTAACGATCAATATTTTTAATTCTCTATAAGTAAAAATTATAAAAGTTATATATTATAATAATACTTATTGAGACGAATTTAAAAGGATCCCACGTGAATATGTTTTTCCTTACATATTATTCATTAAAGACGGTCAAAGAAAGGGTGGTGAATAGTATAAAAATCAAAGCGGAATAACTAAAAAAGAACGGAGGAGGCATGCGTTTATAATGATGTTTATGCTTTTTATTCTACTTTTTAATTTCAAATTGTTGTCTCTGTGTATTTATTTATTATCAATGTATGTGCTTCTATATGTAATAATTTTTGTGCATTAAATCTAATATTATGTGCTTTTATTCAATAAGTTTGTGCTTTTTTTTTACAAGAAGAATAATAAAACGAATTCAGTTGCAGGTAAAAGTATATGTAATCGAGTGTATGTTCTAATTTCTTCTCACTGTTGCGGTCTCCAAGAAGTGGTCATTAGGTCCATTTCTTGATGTTAATAATGCTTATGTTAATGGTAATAGTACCTAAACAATTTTTATGATGCAATCACAATGTTTTATTGAGTCTTATAATTCCTAGAAAGTGATTGGCTATTCCTTCCCAATCTAAGTCTAGGTACCTTCCACTTTGATTCCTTTGTAATTTTGTATAGTAGTTCTCCGTAATCATCTAAATATGGTGATGTTATTAACATTTCACTTCTTGATCATAGCGGTGATCTTTCCTACGTAGTAAACCATGTGTATGTCGACGTTTGCATCAACCCACGACAAGTCATTGGAAATCTCTTGGTCATGCACGGAGTATAAAACATGGTAAAACATTAGGCCTTTTTCCAAAATTTTGGCTTCTGATCAATCTTTTTACTCGTGGCTAATGCATTTGTTTTTGCCAATAATCTCCCAACTCCACATTTTACTTTGCTACATTCTGAATGTTGTGGTGACACAATTGGCACCTTGTTAAATTTTCCATTTTCAAGGAGACATTGAGGAGAAATTATGAATGAAGTATGGTGTTGATCACTTGGGCACCTCTTATACATTGTCCTATAATTTAGAGCTAGTGTTGCTCAATGCCTTCTAATCTTTATTAAGGCTTCAAGCTTTATATAAAATGCTTAATTGAACTTTTACGAACTCGTTGGAATTTTGAAAGATTGAATTATACTTAAGTAGCCCTTATTATTTACTCAAAAAAAAAAAAAAAAAAAAGTAGCCCTTGTTAAAACAAGTCTTGGCTTGAACTTGTTTTTTTTTTTTTTTTTTTTTTGAGTTGAAACTTGAAATGCAACAAGAATTCATCCGGTGAAGTTTTCTTGAAGATCAAGTGCGCGGAAAAGGGAACAAACTTTATATTTACTGGGTTTCGTTGCAAAATTTGATATACCAAAATGAAATTACACCATTTCCTTCCCTTGGAGCTTGGAAGAACTTGCCATTGACATGATTTTGCCTATTTTCACATCAGCTTGTCAACACTCAAGGTCTAAGCCCTCTAAACTTTACTAGCTAGTATTACCTTATACCAGTTGATACGCCAAATGTCACCAAAACAAGAATAGGAAACAAAAAGAACCAAAAATTGAAAAAACGGCGAATGGAATGCCTTCTGAAGTTAAATACATGCAGCATACACCTTGATCTTCATAGCATTTTATCTAAAAAGGCAGTAAGGCATCCTTTAGGTATTCATACTGAGGTAGTAACATATAAAGAATGTACTCTAGACACGACTTGCTTCTTCAATTCATCCATCAATACTCAATTCCTCCCACTTGTTCTTTCTGATCACAAGTATTGTTCATGTATACGAGCTCTATTTTCTTCCCACCAAACTCTAGCATGCATCTCTCCAAATTTTTCTCGACTGTATTGCATGAAAAATTCAGTTTAATCACAAATTCATATGAACATATTCCAAGAAATGGAGTGTACAGAAAAGCTAGAATCAAGCAGAATCTACACAAATCCAATCCTACAAAACAAAATATCCCTACTTGTACGCCTAAATGGTAGATAAAACGAATGAAAGGGTTTGTTTCAAAAATTTCAGAGATGAATGTATAGCACTATTTCCCTAATGAGTAAATGGCTTAAAAAAGACACCCACCCAATCCGATCTTATATGCAATAACGCTATGCTACTACACAATAAATCAGAAACCCATATAGTTTATGGACCATTTGTGTTTCGTCCATTATGCTCCACAAGCCATCTTTATGATCTTGGATGGGTAGATTTAACATTTCCTTTTCAATGGTTAAACACTAATGGGAGAATTTCGCAAGAAGAAATCCTCATTTTCCTTATGAAAACTCACTTTCCAGCTTTAGAAATCCATAGATTGATTGCACCAATGAGTTTTAACTTGAACTTTCCAAAGTAAGCTTGAGGCAGATATCAGACATATATGATGTGGTCCATGTGAGCTTAAGTTTCTTCTATCGTCTTTTTCCACTTCCGTTGAGGCTTATATTAATTTGGACATCGCATTTATAATGTGGGACTGCCATGTTTAAGTGTACTATCATTTTCTTTCAATGTCAACTAAAAACACAAGATATAAGTGCCTATCCAATGGCACTTAATTCATGGCTCTCAACTACCTTAGGAAATAAGGAGGTCACTCGATTTATAACACCATCTCAATGATTTAGTGACTGCAAACTTTAGCAACAATCAGTGTTTCGGAAGAGACAAACTACACTCACGTTCTGGTATTCTTGGAGTATGTTCTTTTTTTTTTTTTTTAAAAAAAAAGGACTTCCAAGAAACTCATCTCATTTGTAACAAAGTTGAATGATTAGCTATGCTTCAGCCTTTTAGCCAATTTCACAATATAATAATCCACTGACAAAAATTGTTTTGAGTTTAGATTTAAGTAACCACGAAAAAGTATTACTAAGCATGGAGAACTAAAATGAAGAACTTGATGTTTATATATTCACTTTAGTCATTTTCCCTAGGAGAGGTAAAATTACTTTTATCGACTTTTAGAAATTAGGAAGCATATAGTGCAAGTTGAAAATGTTTACCTGAATCTAACACGTCTAAGCTCCCTTCGTCCCCCAGGCAAAGCTCTAATAGTGATGTAAACTCCTGGCTCATCCTCTTCTACCCACTCAGACTCCATGTCACTGGCATTGCTGATTGATAATTCTCCAGATCGATCTCCTTCTCTTGAAGAGGTCGATCTTAATGACTCATCCATAGAAGATAGTTCTGTCTTAACTGTAACTCCACTGATGTTGGAGTGTTTGGGTGTTGAGGCGAGACCACTTGATTCATATTGGCGTGATTGCTTTGAGTGTTGCTCGAAAGAATCTGAGGATGAGTATCCCATACCCATGTTCATTCCACGGTAAAGGTTACGCGGTCGGCTTTCTTTGCATAATGGTGGTGTAACAGGACTGTCCCCAATTGATGACTCCATCATTTTTGAGTTCTGTTAAAATAAAAGTAGATGTCAAAATATTGGCAAGTGAACATATTAATATCTATATCATTTACTATGTCAAGTGTCTTTGCTAGCTGATGTTCACTTTGTTTGGAAAAAAGTACCATAGCAAAATTAGACCACCTTGTTATTTTATTTGTGACGTTTAGGCTCATAGTACTTTTATAAAAGGCGATGATCAAAGAAGATGATAATCGTAATATATATCTCAATTCAAATCACTAAGTTGATGAACATTTTTTTTTTGTGTGTCTGTGTGTGTGGGGGGGGGGGGGGAGGTGTGAAATGGAGAAACAAAGAGCAAGTCGCGGAAACAAAAAAGGCAAGAATGGCCAGCAAAAGGAAAATGGAAGCTACAAGTTTGTCAATTTTTGGGGAAAGGGGGGGGGGGGGGGTGGATAATTAGCTATAGTAACCTTACTTTTCTACTTTAGGGGTTTCTTTTGCTTAAAAGTACCTGTGCAATAATGTTTCTCTAAAATGCTGTTTCTATATAAGTATAGCCATAAATCAAGGATGTGGTTAATTTAATTCCA